ATATACATTCATTAAAAATAATAGCAACACCCACATGAGATCTCTTAATATAATAAAAATATATTTTTTGCTAAACGTTTGATTGCACACATTCAACTTTAATTATATCATATAAAACATGAAATATAATAAAACTTTAATTATACATCATAAAACATGAAATATGAAATAATAGTTCTCAGGTGAAAAAATATAAAGCAATTAAGGTAATTGGCCCAGAAAATGTCAGGGTACCGCCAAGTTCACGTATTAAAAACGTATTTTAATGCTTTCTGTCGATCGTGAGGTTTGCTAATATTTTTATTGGTTCCAAAGAAGTATTTACAATGTTGTGTTACATTATGAAATTCATAAATATACGAATTCACTATTGATTAACTGAGCCATCTACCTTACTTTAAATACCTTTTTGGAATAAGAAATACCACGTTCTGTAAATATCATACTGTCTGTGATCAGAACATCTTTGATTAAAGCGGGATCATTTATCATTAAGATTGGTGTTGTTTTAATGAAGAATCCTACTAGTGATGCATGTTTATATTCATCATATATCTCCTTATAATATTCCAGAGGTATTTTTTTTTGTAATATAATATCCTTTGCCGTGCCAAAATATATTATGGGTTTAGGTCCAGGTATTCCATGTTTTTTCCAGAAATTAAACTTCAATTTGTAATAATAATAAAAGGCAAAGATGAGAACAATAATTCCGCATAAAATTTCCAAAATTTCCCTCATTTTTATTCAGTATCTATAATAGAATCTTCATAATTAAAATACAAATATTTTGCATATATATGTATATATGCAACATTTGTATTTTAATACACACACACACACACACACACACACACAACATTTATAAATGTGTACGTATGTGAGAATGCCCGGTAAAAAATTTGTGATGTATGAATATGTATAATCATAAACATACATACACATATATAATAATGTATAAATATTCATAATATATATAATTTTATATGAAATATGTCCATACATATTCATACATCTTTTTTTCTTTTGTAAAATTACTTTTTAGAAATAATAATAATAATATGAAAACATTAAAAATAATTAAAAAGGTAATTTCCGCACTATTAATTTTAGAAAAAATCAAATTGGAAAAAATGTAAAAAAATTACTTATATATAATTATATGTAAAATTGTGCATAATTATGAGTAATTTTTTTTACATTTTTCCAAATTTATTTTTTTCTAAAACAAATAATGCAAAAATTATCCTTTTAATTATTTTTTATGTTTTCACTATTATTTCTATTTACTATTATTATTTCTATTATACTAAAAAGTAATATTACAAAAGAAAGAAGGACGTATGAATACATAAACATATTTCATATATAATTATACATATTTATAACTATTTATATGTGTTTATGCATGTTTATACATATTTGTACATATTCATGCATGAAAAATTTTTTACCGGAAAAAAGAAAAAAAAAAGATATTATGTTACATTTATTAGAATAATAAATCTATTAGTAGTTTATTATCACAGACTTAGTGTATTGTAGTGGAGACTCTACGTGTTCAATAATACTCACAATTAGTAATATTGAATCAGTAATACTAACAGCATATATCATTTTTAGTATTTTTGCAATCTTATACGATCAGTATGATTAATAATTTAGGTATTCCACTTTAGTTTTACATACATTATTTATTGCATTTGTGACATACTATGATATGGATCATAATAAAGCGATACTGATGCTCAAGAACTAAAATCCATCACCATCAGTATTCTATATTAATCCACCAATATTTACCACACGATCAGTAATATTGCCAGTATTTAATACCGACAGTATTATTAACCGTGTAGAGTCACCTTAAACATAATGGCAATAAATAAGTTGATAATATGTGTGTTGATAATATGTGTGTGAATACATAATATCAAATTTGTTACTTACTTAAGGAAAAGATCAAGTTAGCAAAGTTAAATATTGAAAAATGTGTCACAATACCGTAATATGTTCTTTATACTTGAAATTTATCCATAAAATTACTTATTTCATTTGTTTAAGAAAACAATTAGTTAATATATTTGTTTGACGAAAAAGCATGTGCAAATATATATGCTTTGAAACTAAGTAACTTATCATATCAGGCAGTTTATCAACGTTTTTTACTTTTATTGTGCAGTTTCACTTTGTGTACTTACATATTTTACCATTACTGATACATATATTACTGATAAGTCAAACTGTTAATGATAAGGTAAAAATAGCGAAATAAAATAGTTTTTGCTTACGAATACTGATTTAGATAATCGATGATTATCACCTTTATTATATTATTGTACATTAGCACAGAAAGATTGCAAAAGGATTACAGATATATCTCATTACAATGTTGTAATATTGCAAATAGATTGCGCAATGTATTTATTAGCAATATTGTTACAATGCCATAGTATCATAAGAATGTTCGCCTTCAGCAAGATTGTAATGCCATAATAATGTTGCAGCTCAATTTGCAACTATTATTAAAAATAGTTCTTTTTTTATTGAATATAATTTGGAATACAATTTATGATATAAATTAAAAAATGCAGATAAAACAAATCAATATATATTTTATATTGCAATTTTATATTTTACATATAATTTTATATAATTATTGTATTTTATACTTAATTGCAAATTATATATAGGTATATATATGTATATAAATAAAAAAATAATATATATATATATATATATATATATATATATATATGTATATATATGCAGGGTGGCATGAATATACGGCCCCACTCATTCCGAGCAGGTAGAGCCTATGGCCTCAACAAGCTCGCGCACTTTCACTCGTCGTTCAGTCAAAACAATATCGTGGACTTTATCGATGATTTCTGACGTAGCAGCCTCAATTGGACGTCCCGAATAAGGTGCATCACATGTGGATGTACGACCACATTTAAATTCATTCACCCAATTGTATACAGTCGCAAACGTTGGTACAGATGTGCTATGAACATCATCCAACTCGGCTTTGATTTCTTTCGGTGTTAAACCTTTCATATGTAGATGTTTGATCACTGCACAAAACTTATTTTTTTCCATTTTGCAAAAAATAAAGGTTGTTCGCTTTAATCGTCTACAAAACCACGCGATGAATTCCGCTCAAAATTTGACAGTAATCAGCTGAAAGATGCTACTTGTCAAAAAGTAATGTGACATGACGCTGCGAGTACCTTCTAAACAGATTTACTTAAGAACTTATTGACTTATCCTCATAACAATTCTTTTCCTGTAGTATTATAATTTTGTTCGGCTTTATTTAGAATTCGAGTCGCGTAAGCAATCGGACGATCTTGACCTACGGGCCCTTGTGATAATACGGCTCCTATTGCAAAGTCCGACGCGTCAGTGGTTACTGGGAATTCTCAAATGAAATCTGAGTAACTGAGTATAAGTACTGTTATGAGTTTCATTTTTAATAATTTGAATGCATTCTTGTTCCATTTTCGAATGTAACTTCTTTTTTAGTTAAGCTTGTTAGAGGCTTCGCAATTTTTGAAAAATTTTCGATGAATTTCCGGTAGTATCCAGCTAACCCGATAAACGATTGTATGGTATATTTTTAATTTTTTTCGGCACAGGAAAGTCTTTTACAGCGCTTAATTTACTCGGATCTGAACGTATTCCTTCTTCGGTTATTATATGTCTGAGATATATTACTTCCTTTCGTAGAAACTTTTCTGTAATTCAAATTATATTTACGTAGTCATTGCATTATCTCGCTTATGATGTTCCTCTAGACTCGGTCCGTAAATAACTATATCATCTAGGTACACGAGGCATCTCAAACTTTTTCCGCTAATATTGTGTTCATTAATCTTTGAAACATCGCGAATGCATTTCTTAACCCGAACGGCATTCGGTTAAATTCATAATGTCCGTGCGAGAGAAGGCAGTTTTATTTTTGTGTTCCTTACTCATAGGAATTTGATGATATCCCGATGCATTTTTATTTATTTATAGGAATTGCATAAAGCAAATATCTATGTCTTTTCAATTTTGAATACATTTTTATTCATTTATACGAATTTCATAGAGCACATGCCTTTCAATCCAAAAATAATATTAGCATTTTCTGCGTATCGCGAATACTACTCAATTCAGAATTGTGAATAGAAAGTTTTTTTAATTCAGTTAAATTGAAAAATAATATCAGCAATTTCTATGCAACGTGAATACTGCTCAATTCAATATTCTGAATATGAAATGCAATTTTTCAATCTGATTGAATAAAAAAAGTTTTTATTTAAAAATAGATCATAAATACTACTTAAATTATTTAAAATTATAAGTAGAAAATTTTTCATTTTAATAATAACTAAGTTCAAAAAAGTTGTAACGTAAAAATAATTGAGCTATGTTCTTTTGTTTCTCTTTGATTAGAAATAAAATGAATGATCGATGTGAACTCGCAAACCAAGTCGAATACAGCTCGAATATTATGCTGATTATGGCGCGCGACATCGGCCAAGCGAGATTAGAGTAATATTATAAAAATTGCTTATACTATCTGATAGAAGACACTTTTTAATTTGTACTCATACTTTTAAAATTTTATTTTTATTTTTATTTAAGAAATTAATTATTTAAAAACAAAGTTCCAGCAAACGAGAATGGATTTAAATGAATTGAAATGGATTCAGATTTTCAGAAATATTGATTTACGAATGTTAAAATGAATGCTTTTCAATCCTGAATGCATTTTTATTTATTTATAGGAATTGCATGGAGCATATCTTTATGTCTTTCAATCTAAAAATAATATTAGCTTTTTCTGTGCACACAACAAACATTATGAATACTGTTCAATTCAAAATTTTGAATAGGAAATGCAGTTTTTCAATCCAATTGCATCCAATTGAATCTTCCAGTTGAATCCAACTGGATAAAAAAAAATATTCGCTATTTAAAATATGCATTTGGATAGAAAAAAATTTCAATCCATTTTAATTCATTCTCGTTTGTTGGGGGTGGTATGTCAGTCGGTGACTTTCCTCTATTTATGTGCCGTTATATGCTTTCAACTCCATGATGTTTTCGCGATACTTCGTGGGAGCGCGAGAGGCGCAAATTACTGACGGGCGACGACGGCAGATGGCGGTCTCGGAAAGGCGCCAACAGAAAATTAAAAATCTATACGTATCACGGCGCCGGTTGTGGCGGCTGTGTGGGGTAGATGACGTCACGCTCGCCACCCCCGGGAGAAATCATCCCCGACGAAAGGATGGCACTGACGGCAGCTTGCCCCCGTTCGAGCTGGACAGCGCCAGACGGTGCATGAAACTATTCCGGGTGTCGCTACGTCGTAGAGGAAGCGAGGAGGAGCGCGCGAGGCGATTGACGTGAAGTGAGCGTCGCCGCCCTGAAGGTTGCCGCGGAGCGTGGACGGCGACAGCGAAGGTGACGGTGACGACTGATTTACGACGGCCGGGGGTGCAACAAGCGTTCGTGCCGGGCAAACATGAGCGAACCGAACCCGCGGCTGATTGCGAGGCTCGACCTGTGCGTCGCGAATCGCGCCGAGTTCGCTGGAACAGGTGAGTAGAGAATTCTGTTCACGAGGTTTATTCGACATCACGGAGGTCAAGCTTCCTGGAGCTAAATTCGCGCCGGGAGAGCGAGAGCTTTTTAAAAGAGCAGAAGCTGGTTGCGAAGACATTGAAAGTATTATCACTATCCTGTTCTCGCTTTATCGCGATTAAAGCGAATAAAGTGTCGATGCTTTCCAGCAAGAGACACAGTGATCATTTCATTTCTATTTAATATTGACAAACAATAATTCACTGTGTTACTTGCTGGAAAATACTCTAAGTATTGTAATTCTTGTATTATGTCTTAAACGTGAGAGGAAGAAAAATAGAAGACATGTTGCACAGAAAACTAATTGTAAGAGACTTGTAACATTGAATATAAGACCCACTTATTGCGTTTCTTGAAGGTCTCCGACTCTCCGCGATTGATCTCGACGAGCTGCATACGTCGCTTTGATAGCAGAGGAGAATGTGTGTCATGCACGCAATTTTTATCCTTGCGATATAAGAACTTTGAATGAGTATGCATATGTGCGACTTTACAAATTTACAGATTTTCCATGAGAAGATTAATGTTTGCCATGAGGGGATGCAACACGATTAACTGCGGTGCGCAATTTTATATATTCAAAAATTGCGAAAGATCGATAGCACGATGTAAAAGAGATATGAAAGATATCATAATTTTTGACAATTAGTGTGCAATTGGATTTCTCATATACGCATGAAATTTTTCTTTCAATCGCTCTAGCAGTTTCTAAGCCACCAGGATCATTTATGTCTCATAGTTTCGTAATATTGTTTAACTCTCCGTGGGTTAACATTTTTTTCACTGCTTTCTTAATCCAACTGGTGCCTGATTATGTTTTTCAAAGTGTCTTTGAATTATAATAAAATCTGAAAAAATTTTAATGACCCAAAACTTTTTACTTTTTTTGTGCATATCTAAATTTGAGACAAAATAATTTAATAACTTAAATAAGACAGGTCAAAATTAGAGCCAAAAATAATTTAAAATTAAAAATTCGAGTCTTCAAAGCTCCGGTTGGACTACGGAAGATTAATGTACCAAGTAGAGTTTCTTCATATTTTAGAATTTCCGAGATAGAAAATTTACGTCATCAAATATGACGATATGATACGTTTCATTTTTCAAAACTTAAGAATGCCGTAAGGGATTTCATGTCCCGCATATTCTTTTCATCCACTTATCATTCCGTATTAATTATGCACTTATTAACATCATTTAGACATAGTTGCTATATTAGTTGCGAAAGACAAGTTATTGCATGATTTACATCGAAAATCGCATTCAATAAATCATTAGCCGTCTCAATATGATTTACTTAATTTTTTTACAATTACGAAGCCGACATATTATATATATATATTTGTCAAAAGCGCTACTTGCATGAAATTTTACTCGAGCTTTGCATAGTAATTGTGTGTTAGCCATGTCCTTTTTCTGGAGAATTATCCGAAGAAGAAATAATTTAATTTGTTTGAGAAACGAATTAAATTACGTTTAAACTACTTGACACATTTCTATGGATAGCGATTATGCGCATATTGATTAAGTACTTGACAAAGGGTAAGATATTTTAAAACGAAATATATGAAGTGCAATTAATAAATGGAAGAGTGTTAGCTTCAGACCTGATGATGCGGTTTTTATAATTTCATGTAATTAAAATTTCTGAATATATAATTTAACGCTTCCCATTGTGAGAAATATTTCTTAAAAATATAAAAAGATTGAAATGAATTCATATCGTTATCGTATCATATTAAAAACTGATTTCTATAATTTTCTGTTCTTATTATTTCTACATTACATAATTATGTCTCGACATTATAATCTTAAAATAACGCGTAATATTCAACATGATACGTTATTTTAAACGATATGTGCTCGAATATTCTTAAAGTAATCCTAAAATATTGTCCTAAAGTATTGTATTTATATATTTATCGCTCATTAATCGCTCATTTATTGTTGCTAAGATGTACGTCGGAAAGCAAAGGACATGGCACACCTGTAGATACGAAATGCCGGACTAGCACGAGAAGCGAGCGACCGACCAGTAGAGGCAGAGCAAGCGAGAAGCAGAGCAAAGTAGTGACAAGAGGGTAGAAAGCAAATACATAGAGTGAGGGAGAAAAAGTGAACGATAGAGAAAAAAAAACAGCATCCCGTCGTTGAAAATTTGCGTGGCGCAAAATTAGCAGAGAGAATGAGTCATGCTCAGCAGCATGTGCTTGCGAGCGCGATAGTCCTCGCGGTGTTAGTGGTATTCTGCATCCACGTCTTCCTGTTTCCCATGTACACGTCGACCCCGCCGGCACATCACATGAAGATCTCCGCGTACGAGCAAGCACTCTGTCGTACGAATCTGAAGAACAACATCCGTATACCGGCGTCAGAATTGCGCAACAATCCTTGTCCCAAATATGGCATAGTCTCGGCAATGCAAGGTGGTAGACTGGGTAACCAGATCTGGGAGTACGTTTCTGTGTGGGCAACCGCCCGGAGAACCGGCCTAGAGCCATTCATGCCGCGTTGCATTCTCAAGACCCTAGAAGAGCACTTTGAAAACCTCAGCATCCCGCCACTCAGCTACATCGGTAGATGTACTCTAGATGTTGGCCAGATGGTTAATTCGCTCAGTCAGTGGAATAGTACGGAGCAAAATATCATAATACCTAGGTCAGTATTTTTTAAGATTTCACAGCACAAACTACCGTGAAATAAATACGTAAATAAAATTATGCAAAAAAACAATAAGTTTCTCTTAATCTTTTAAAAAATATATTTAAATAAAAATTAATTTTTTTTTTTTTTTTTTTTTTCAGGCATGCGGCTAACTGGTCTTTGATACTGGTCTGGCTAGATGACGTACGACGAGAATTTACATTTAAACCGAGTCTAAGGATCTATGCAGAGAAAGTATTGAAACGCGTGGCGGAAAAATTCAACTTGTCCTCGCCAACCTACGTCAGCGTACACGTACGCAGGACCGACTATGTAGATTACCTTTGGCAGAAGTTGAAAACGCGGCCGGCGCCGGTAAGTTACTACTTGTCGGCGATGGATTACTTCGCTGGCAAGTACAACAACGTAATCTTCGTAATAACGAGTGATAATATCGCTTGGTGCAAGTATAACTTGCGCAGCAAACGTCACCGAATCAGCTTTGTATCAGAAAATGATGGCAAAGGTCCGGGGAAAGATCTGGCGGTCTTGTCCGCATGCAATCATAGCATAATAGATTACGGTACTTATGGCTCCTTTGGAGCTATTTTGGCCGCCGGCGAAACCGTAGTTTACAATGTAACAACATACTTTTCTACATTGATTGCTAACGTTCTACCAAATTGGAGGATAATGAGTTGAACGAAAAAAATCAAATAATCCGTAAAGCAAACAGAACACATTTATGTTACATCGTATGCGCACATTTTTTGTAATACATAATCTTTTCGAAAGGCGATAAATTATTCTTGGAAACTTTTAATTAATTTACAAGTTTCCGTAAACTTATGATTCCTTTTCAATACCAGTAAAGTACAAAATTTGCAATTCAGTGTTTAAATTAATTAATACAATTCTTATCAGACCGCAGACCAAGTGTGTATAAGCTACATACAGATAATCATTGTATATTTACATCTGCTACCTATGCAAATATGGTAATTTTGAACTACTTGAAAGTGTACCTTGCCTTTCTCCTATCTAGATAATATATATGCTCATATATTTTCCTTTTATTTATTATACAAATGCGTAAGTATCTCGCTAGTAGTAAAATTAAATGAAAGTGTGTTGCTACATCACATCAAATTTTATATATATAAATGCGTCATACTGCTTAACTATATTAAGCATATATTACGCTTTCATTTAAATTTAATGTGCGCACAAGCTAGAAATCGATGCACTTATAAATGTAGCGAGCAAATTTTTCAAGGAACTCGAGGAAAAGGTTTACAATGGAACAATGGACCACTAATATCTAAAATTAAAACAGAAGCTTATTTTTTCTACGACTCTGATACATACTTGACACGGCCGTAAAAATTTAATAAAAAGGAAAAAAAGCGTAGATCGGATGTTCTTTCCAGATAAGGTGGTAACCAAACGAGCCTAATTCAAAGAAAAAAAACACGCGTACAGATAAATTCTAAATTTTACAGTGCTCAGAATTATATCCGATTAATCTCTTAGTATTTCGCGTAATCTTTTCCAAAATCTGGATTTTTTATATATTATTTCATAATTTCATAATTTGTGTAATTTTCTATAAGTAGAGCCTAGTTGTGGGGTTTCAAGTTTGATTGATTACACATTTCAACGTGCATTTCATATCGTAGTAAGCGTATAACATACACTTCACAGACACGAAAAACCGACATATTGACAAAACCATCTGTAAATCTTATAATGTACAATGATTTCAACTGTGATTCTATTTCTTATTGTGCCAAAATTCTTAATATACACATAAGCATATATATAAATATATATGTATAATATATATATATATACACACACATCTATATATGTATTATAAAATTATATCTATACAAAGTGTTGTATAATATTTACAAATCTGTGAGCAAATGATAAATTATTTCTTCACTTAACCGTAAAGTATTATAAAATGGAAAAGTTTACAGACTATTACTATTATTGCGTGAGAAACGAATGGAGAAATATTTTACATAAAGCCAGTGAAATTTATTAACCATGTGACCTGATGTATTTGACTTACAGTGTTTTACAAGTTAGACTATAGTCAGTGTCTAATATCTATATGTTAATATCTATATATGAATGTTTTCAATGTATTTGTGCCTGCCAGTTGTTGAATATTTAACAAGATGTTGGAGCATAAAATGGAGTTATGCAATGAGTAATAGAAATGAAAATATATGAGCTGATTATATATCAGATTTTTCATTGCCAACATTAATTGCGACAAGAAATATGATTAGAGACAAAAGCATGAATATGTTGAATAATTACTGAGGCTATACAACTTTCAGGCATAATACGATCTACTCTGTACATTCTCTGTGATAATTTTATGTAATTTTTGAAAACATAATGCATAAGCTAAAGTGTATTTGTTTTACAGAATAAAAATACTCTGTGTCAAAAAATTCTGTACATATATCGATCTATTCAAAAATAACATTTCAGGTTTTTCCATCGCTAGATATATTAAAATGCGCGTATTATCAAATATCCTATACAGTGCTAAATATATATCAAATTATATGGCTTACTAAAAACTTATTATCTCTTTCATTAAAATCTATAAAAAATAATGATAAAACACTTGTCAACACAATTTTCTCAGACAAGACATAAAATTTTCACAAATCGATTATATATAAATATTTTTTAAATGTATTACTGATTTGCGGTAACGAGACCAGCTGGACCTAAACTCAATTTCGTACCAATTGTCTTCATCCTTAGAGGCTGAAACCCAAGTTCAGTCTTGGGAATTCCATATTCTTGCAATTTACTCTCATAAATTGCTAACAAATCGTCATGTGCTTTACATACTTTCGCTAATTCATATTGTAAGTCTTGTATTGCAGTATTTTTTCTATTGAGCATATCCTACAAAGAAATATTGCATTATTATCATATTCGTATTTAATTCACATAATTGTGGTAAGATTGTATTTAATGTATACCTCTAATTTTTTATTCATATTAATCACCACCGCAGGATCTAATTGAGCAGCAGCTAACACTTCGCTAATCTGCACTTCACGTTGCTCTAATAAATCCGATAACTTTTCTAATTTTTTTTCTAAGAGTACATTCTTTAAACCTGTTTTTTGTTGCAGCTCAAATATAGCCGACACAAATCTAGAATGTAACTCGTCTCTTTCGGATTGGCACTAAATAAAATATTAGAAATATATTTTATAAGAAATAGTATATGTATATTTCGAAAATGTTATATGTATTGTTTAAATATCTTATTTTTATATGTTTAAATATCTTACTTTTTCAAAACGTAGCTCGAGAACTTCATTTTCCCATTTTAAATTTTCTAAATCCTTCATCACTGCGGATAATCTTCGTTTTGTGTTCTGTAATAATTATTAATTCAGTTTTTCATAACGCTATTATATAATGATATGTTTTAAATACCAACAACTAAGCATTGCTTGTCTTTCTCGTAATTTGCAAGTTGACGATTAAGTTCGGTAATCGTTTCTTGCAAAGCTTTCAAGTCAATCAAATATTTTTTATTTTCTATTGTTAATTCCCGTTGTTGTTTCTTCATACGTTCCTCATTGTTTCTCATCATTTCCATTTGTTCCTATTAAAAGATATGCTATATTAATTGAAAAATTATTCATTCTTATTTTCCGTGACTATAATTGTAAAATTTATAATAACTATAAGGTTCACCTTCATACTCTTAATTAACGATAAGTTATTCAGAGTGATATCATTGTAATAATTTTTCATTTCAGTAAATGCATTCTCGTGATTCTTTATCAAATTCGCAATTTGCGCGTTCTTTCTCTCTTCTACTTCAGTTATTTCCATACGATGTTTCAATATTAAGGACTCATATTGGCTTGTTAATTTTTGTTCATATTTTTGTTCCAATTCTACTGCTTCAGACTCAAATTTTTTTATCATATTGTTCATTTCCTCTGAATTATGCTGCATTTCATATGTATAAAAGTGAGCGATTTTTTTCTCAATTACAATTTAATAAATACGTACATATAAAGAAAGATAGAGAGGGAAGGAGGGAGAAAAAGAGAGAAAGAGAGATTTTGTGTCTTACCGCTTTTAATGCGCGAATTTCGTTCATGTACGCCAATTCCTGCTCTTTCTGTACTTTTTTAAGGTTGGTTTTATCTTTAATAAGCTCATTTTCTTGCACAATATGATCGTCTTGTGCCAATTTAAGAGAAACTAGATGCTCTGCTTTGGTTTCAGATAAATTAGTCTGATGCTCATACATCAAGTGCTTCACTTTCTGCTTATATAATTTGAGTTCAGCTTCGTGATTCTCTACTAATTCCTCTTTCTCACGTTCTTTATTTCTGAAGAATTTTAAACGCATTTACATTCGTCAGTGATTCAAATGGTCATTTATTATCGGTAAAGTACCTGACTACAGCACGTGCTTCATTCAATTGATGCCTCGTAATTTCCCAAAAAGTTCGTAGTTTGTCCCTTTCTAGTTGAAAAAAGTTTCTTTCCTCCCGTTCTCGTTCCAGCTCTTCCAATATCTTATGTGCATATATCTCTAATTGTTCCCTATTCATTTTTGTTGTATCTACCCCCTCGACCTGATCTATCACTTTCCCTTTCGCTTTTTTAGGACCCTTTTTATCAATTTTAAACAATTAACACACATAGTTCAGAAATAATTGAGAGATAAGAATGATATAAAATGAAAGAATAGAATGAATAGAAAAAAACCATACATGGAATTATATAAAAATGCTTGTAAAAAAGTATGTATTAATAAAATACTGATAAAAATTGATAATATTAATATTAATACAAATAATGATGATCTATTGTAAAAAAAAACTTATAATAGGTTAATTAAGATTAATTAACTTACCATTTTTATTGGTATCAAAAAAGATCGATGTAAAAAGATTTATATAATGTACTGATCTGTTCAAAAATATAAAAAATGTATAAAAAAAGTAATGAATAATAATAATGATATCACTACAAAATCTATAGTCTCGCAACAGCTGACTTATGTCTGTAGAAATCAGTCTGCTTGACATTTAGAGTGGCACTGTTTTGTAAGAATGTTGCTAAGTAACCGTGTCTTGTATTCTTGCATGGTGGAAATAATTTCCACCATGTATTCTTGTTCTTTCTTAAGTATTTATATATGCAGTTTTCATGCGACTTTCATGCTTTTCAAATATGAAATATTTGCAAAATATACATTATAATACGATATGAAACATATATATTATTGAAACTAATAAATTCAGAATATATTTTTGTATCTATTTTGTTAGCTACTTAATTTATCACAAAATTTTATTTTTATCGTAAGTAATACGAAATAGTATGGATATACATACGCATTTTTCATTGTATATTAAAATGATATTTTATTCAGATTTGTTTGGCATGCTTCCACAATTGCAACAAAAATAAGCTATTCGCTTGTATAAGGATATGCTTATGGTAATATTAAATTACTCGATAAATTATAAATAACATATCTCCAAAGATTTATTAATTGTCACATTTCAAATAGAAAATAAATATATCATGATTATTGTTTTCTAAAATGTGTGTACGCATTTTTTTATAATAATATCAATATGATTATCACTTATTGTATCAATATTTCAATTATATTTTTTATTCATTTACATTACATCACAAAATTTCTCAAAAACAAAATTTAATGTTTGACACATCTCTCGGCACAAACGCTAAATATTCAAAAAATATTCCTAAAATCCCCAAAAAACATTCCAAGAATCCAAAATATTTTCCAAAATATTCTGAATAGTATTTATGATAAAAGAAACATTCAAATGTCGACTAAAAATTTCATTACATATTCTAAGAATGTTCCATATATATATATATTCCACAAAATTTTACTTTGGAAAATACATTTAATATGTTTTCACTTCGGAGCCCAATTTTGGGGCTCTTTTCACAGACGAAGTGTTGCGCTGCTTCTTGTGATTTTTGTTTACGAATAAATGCTCTTCGTCGCGGTCCTCTGTCGGCGAAGATGTGCACTGCTCGCTCGCTCGCAATTTTATTATGAAATATATAAAAAGTATTCACATTCTGAACATTTCATCGACATTTGCAACTTTCTGTGAATATTTAGCGTTAGCTGCGGGTTTCAACAACTTCCAATATGTATTACATCATATCACTATCTTGACGGAAGCGTATATTTTTTTTATTACAAATCGTGATTTCACTGGAGCGATATAAAAAATTCTTAATTTATGCAACTATCAGAAACGCATGAATAATAATTTCATAAAAAAGTTATATTAATATTCAATTAAAAATTCATTTTAAAAGGTTCACCTTGTAACATGCAATAACAACAAAATTACTAATATTAACAATCAGTGCGAAAGTATTTACTGCTACACAATGGTTTTATTCGATTATAAACTTACGAAGAGAAAAGATGTGTAAGTGTAATAATGATTACCATATTACATACATAAAAATTTGTGTGCACATTTGTAGAAAAATTTTACAATATAAATTATGAGGTAGAACTAGTCTATGCGGCATGTAACAAACATCGGAAGGAGAGACTATCCTTAATCCTTTTGGATTTGGTCCTTTACAGATTCTATTTGCTGAGTTGTGTTAGATTTGTGCTCGTAATCAAACAATTATAGCAAAATAATTACCCTCCGACTAAAATTAAAAACATTTTGACAATTATTTTTTTCTACATTAAAATAGTGATAAATTATACAATGACACTTGACAAATATACTCTTAATCCTACCACATAAATATCAAGGCTTTCCATATTAATATAAATGATTACTCAAATAAATTGTAGATTTATGAATAATTGAAAAAAAATGTAACAAAAATAAATATAATTATGTTGAATAATCTTGCTCACTCAAGAAATGTTCTGCGAAGTTGGTCATATGGAATGCTACATGTTATATGACTATTTCCCCATTGTTTAGCTCGATTCGCCATTAAATTGTAATAAACATCCCACCGCTCCGAAATAACCCTGAAATCAAGATATAATATCCTATGATATCTGAATAGTATTTTTAAATATGAACTTTTAGTTAGATTTTTACTTCATGTTCCAAAAACAGTGCTTTCAAAGTTCCTTTAGACCAATAATCCATAGCATAGGCCAACAATTTCATTGATATGGGATTTACTCTGAGAAAATTTCCTACAAATACAACCTAAAAACAAAAATTGTTATATATAACTACTTTATATTATATTATATATACAATTATATATTTTTATTACCCTTTCAATTTTTTCATTAACAGCACACATACGCGCGATAGAACCAATATTATTTGTGATAGTAACAAGAGTTGCACGCGCCAGATCTTCCTTTGTGACAGTATTTCTACGATCTTTGGAATTCATTTGTCCAAAACTAAAAATAATAAAAAAGGGGATACAAAATAAGAATCAAAATAACGAAATTACATCTTAGAATAAGAATTAATAATTGCTTTACAATTGTATATACCTGCTCGCAACTAAATCTCCAGGAAGATCGAAAGGACCATAATCACCGCCGTATATATCCTTAACCAATTTATCCACTCTTGTATTATCGCCGCCTGTTGCTAATTCTATTGCTTCTTCAAAAGTGTTACATCCAGTAAGAAGACAGCATAATCCCAAAAATGTACCACCACCTAAGCTATAATTAAAAATGTATTGATATTACTTCATAATAAATATCTTAAAACTACAAAATACAACATACATGCAATTTACCTTGTTCCAGATATCCTTTTAAAATTTTCTTGTCCATATACAGCTAATATGCTTACTCCGGAGCCTATATTAACGAGCTGTAGAAAATAATCAATCAGTAATTTCATCAATTAAAAACGCACAATAAAAAATATTTTTATATACTCTTACCAAGAAAGGATATGGTTCAGAAAAATCATAGGGTACTTTTTGGCATTTGCTGTCATCGGTAGGATTCGACCAATAATAGCATTCATGTGGATTCGTGGTCTCTATGTAGAGCATCCCACGTATTAAACTATCTAATTCATCAAATTTTGCCAAATTCATATTTACTTCCTGCCAAAGATATTTCATTATTTTAATAATTATCATGTTGCAATTTGGTTTGTTCAACTTGGTTACACTTTTTTACACTTTTTACACTTAAAATGAGATAGATATATATTTGGCGCTGAAAAAAAGAGAAAGCAAAGTTTCTGAGTGTAAAAAGTGTAAGCAAATCGAACAAACTTAATTATAACAAGGCAAAGGCAAAGATAGATAATTTTCCAAACCTTTTTAAAATTATCTTCGAATTTAAAAGCACCACCCCCAGTGGCACAAACAGTAGTCACAAGATTTGCCATACCTTTTGATTTTGCTAATGCTAAAAAATTTCCCATTTCACTTGTGGGAAATCTAATAAAATGTAAGGTTCCTCGTCTGCCTCTAATACAGATATTATCCATCTGAAACAATCGTCAAATTAATTTATAAACAACAAGTTTATATAATTAATAAATTGTAGAAAGTACAAGTTAAATATTTAATAATGTTTACTTGTAAATGCGTATCACGATGGCCAGTTTTTCCATATGCCGAATTTTTAGTGAGATATCGACGAATATTTTTCAATATCTCAACTTCTGCGTCTGCTTCATCTCTCGTTATATCCTTTGGCTCAAAGTATACTAATTTGCATAATGTACCACCTATGTCCATTCCAAACCAAGGCATTGCTGCAACAATAATGTTATGATTAATATTCTTGAGACTTCCAAGTGGGTGCTTTCTATATAATTGTTGTGTGTTTCGCGGGTTTTCTCTGTGTCTAGATCCATTCTTGGAATGCCAATGTTTCGTGAGCCTTGCAGCCTGATACAGTATCAGACTGCTCCTCGTCCTGATGAAGTGGACTGCAAGGTTTCCCGTGAAAACCCGTGAAACACACAAATGTTATGATTAATATTTTACGATTATTTTATCTTGTAATTTGTGCAAAAATATGTTAAAAATTTATGTTTATAAAAAAATCAATGATCACTAGAAATTAAAAAAAAAAGCACAATTTTGCAAAAATGGTGAGATTAAATTTTTAGAAATGTGATTATTAATAATGGCATGTCATGCAGAAAATTGTGGCAAAATATAAAAATATATATACAGTAAGAAAGAATTATCTAATTACAAATATTCTTTTAGATGACAATCAAGCGAATTAAAGATAACATTTTTGTCACAAGCATCATCTATTTTGTTACGAATATTATTTAGCTTAACAAAATTCAATATTTGATACTTATTAGAGAAAACTAAGCAGTGATGTACAAGCCGGTAGTATAGATATTCATGCGATAAAATAATTATCGTATATAACTCTTCGTAGCGTTAGAATTGTACTTCGTACAGTATATATATAGATGCAGTATTCCCAATGCACATAATCATTCAAATACAATATTCTGAATATTCATAATATTAGATTACAGTATTAAATACAGACAATAATAATAATAGACACAGTATTAGTATTTCCAGTTTATATGTATATAGTCTTTTCCAGATATAGTATTTAAAGTTTCATTAGTTTCGACTTCTGTTCTTAGCTAAAAATTGATGATAAAATGAACTATACTAATGTACTGATAATAATTTAGTCAGCCTTTCATTAAAATAAATTTGAAAAAATTTAAAGATTAAATTATCGATGTAATTATATTTGCAAATAGTTATATAATATAAAGCATTGAAAATATTGCAGGTATATACAGTAAATAGTATATCGCGTGGACACTACACTCAATTTGAATTGATTTAGATCATTGCTTAGTTATTTATATTATATAATCCGAGTCCAATTTGAGCTCCGGAGCCAAAATGCAAAACCATCGACGCAAAAAAATCAATATGGGTAAGATTTCAAAGTATTGACTGTAAAGTGATATGTGTCTGAGCGACGCTCATCAATACTTTACAGTCCATGAAATCTTACTCATATTGAATTTTTTTGCATCGATGGCTTTGTGTTTCGGCTCCGGAGTTCAAATTGGATAGGTCTGATATAGTCAATCATTTCATTTTCATATGCAAAAATTTGAAAAAATTATAATCATGACGCAAGGTATAAAATACCAAACACATTTGCAAACGATGCAGCAAATAACATAATATCTAATAAAAAGTAAAAAATTGGCAATCTAAGCACACATACAATCCACTGACTCACAAGGAGATGAATGATTCCTTGCTTCTTTGGTCATGGTATTGGAGTATCCGTTAGACTGCATGTCTTTTGGAGTTAAATTGTTCTTATGGCTTTGCGGACTCATTGCTCAGAATAGAATAGTTTACTGCAGATCCCTCTGTGATGATAAATAATGTATTCGCTGAAAAAGATACATACATTTAAAAACAATTTTGTAAGTACAATTTCAAAGGAAAAATATCTCATGTGTCTACTTCTATGATATTATGTTGAAAACATTATGCAAATACAATTCATATTTCTTTTAATAATCAACGATTTTTTTTTTCATAATCCAAATGTGGAGAGCATTTAAAACTTTAAATCATTTAGATGCAAAGAATTATTTTTAAGCCAGAAGTCAAAGATCATCTTTTTCATTTGCGCACACAATATGAAATACACATGACACGAAACGCAGGAATATATTTACATAAATAACGTCACACAAGTTCATGATATATGTACATTTTTATCCATTTTTTAAATCGTTTTATTGTCGTATATAATCTGCTCTTTCATATTATATATACTTATTGGAATTGAATTAAATACAAATTTAACTGGTTTTTTTTATCATTAGTCATTTATTATTATTTATTGTATATATTTTATTGAAAAAAATATTCGTGTAAATTTGCATATATCAAGCACCAAAACCCGCTTTGACCGAAAATAAGAATCTTTTTCTTATTTAACTTGCAATTCTACATAACAACTTTATCTTCTTGAAACAAAATCCCGTAATAATTATATTGTAAATAATACCTCACCGGATAATATATAAATACAGTTTCTGTTGAAACATTACAATATCAAAACAACGAGTAGATTGACCGTGCTAAACGTTTGAATATTTATATTTTGATTACACGCGCGAGTATGAAAGCGCCCTTCTATTCATTATAGCTATATTCAAACGATAAGCGTAGACGCGCGATATCGTTACGTAACTCGTACGACTAATAATTAATTATCTAAGCGATCAATCTTCTATTATGGCATTGCTCCCATTTTGCAAATCGCGTCGACTACTCTTAACGTTCACCGAGCTATTGTCAGCAGCATTTTACAACACATTGATAAGATTCTCAAGGCACTCGTTGCGAAAAGCATCTTCAAAAGAAGATTGGCTACATTCAGCAAACTCAACAGTTGAGTGAGCGCTCGCTGCTATTGATGTATTCTTCTAGATCTAAAATTTTGATTGGATGATCTAAAAGAATATACCAATAACAGCGAACGTTCATTCAACTGTTGAGTCCACTGAATGCGCGCTCATTGTAATGCACCAACTACTTTACGATGCTCTGTTGACGACCGTCAGTCGCGTCGTCGTCACCCCGTCGACGATTAAACGTCACGTCAGACGTCACGTTGAACGTCACGTTGAGCCAAGAAATCGCGTTTAGCGACGCGAGAATTCGCCATTAGGACCGATCGAACGACGGTGGCGTGACGTCTCACGTCAGGCCGGCGTGACACTTACTCATCAGATTTACGCGAAAGCATCGAGAACCATCGAGAACGGCACAAGTTAATATACACCACGCGACCCGGACGCTCCCTTCCCTTCCGTTCCGTTTGCACCGTCCGACTGACCACGACCCGCGATGAGCGGAGTGAACGACGACTTCACGACTACACTGACTGCAGCGACTACCTCGGTGCTGTCTAAATAATACCCGGCAATACGATAACTGTACAATGAACGGGACGTCAACGGAAATCCTACTATGAGGAAACACTGCGGTCGCAGTCGCGGTCGCACGTATAGCAAATTCGATCTTGCCGAGCGCGCACCATCTCGATATACTGTAAAGGCTGCCATACATGAAATAATCTTGTGTTAGAAAAATGTAAAAATATAACATGTGATCTTGCCTGAACTAAACCCGATAAAATATTTTTAATCCACTAATGTGACGTCTTACTAATCTTTAATCGCTTGTATACGACATTGTATGCCTTTTGTGTCACAGCGCAGCCTCTTGATATACACTTATATACACTTCTCGATGCGCGATTAAATTCTCCTAAATTCACTATTAAGGAACGTCCGTCGACTTGAGAGTTTCGTTTCCTTCTGTGAATGTTCTGAGGGGCATCTTTCTTATTACCTGACATCACGGTTGCTACGGACTTTCGAAAAAATATCACGTGCCATTGCACAAATTGTAGGGACAGTGTGGTGGCGATCAGCTGATCAGCCCGTTGACTCTTTCCTTCCTTCTCTAAAATGTACATCCGTCCTTGTTAACGTTCTCGTGCAATTTCCTTCCTCTTTGACCAGTTCAGAGTTTTACTACCTGAAAAACTTGGAGTGTTTTTAGAGAATTTCTTTTTCTTCTTGAAAAAAAAGGAACTTCATGGAATTGTATACCCAGGAAAGAAGGGTACAATCTTATCTTTTTGCGACCATTTGTATTCCTACATTTTTTCCTGTATTTTTTTTCTTCACGGAAACCGAAAATTATCATAACAATGACACCCAAGAAAAACAAAGTAAAGAAAATCCTTATTCCTATATTAACGAAATATTATCGTTGTCAGTTATGCTTCAAGCTTTAATCATTTAAAAACTATTCCAGAAAAATGGATCCTCTAACGGTCACAAGAAAGAATGAAAGATATATCTTCCTTTCGAAATTTTATTGATTTTCCTGAGAACATTGTCATTTTTTTTCTTGGTAATACAAAAAGTTGACGCTTGGCAACATCTGCATATGGCATGATTTATAAATATTCATGTACATTCTTGCTGTATATTTTTTGCCAAAAATCAAATTTTTTAAATGCTCCTCTTTTTCATTTATAAATCTCTCTCTTAAAACATGTTTCCATTCTTGCATCATTCATTTATTATCCGTAATTATTTCACGGAAATTAAAAAAGTGTTTAAACTACATGTAAAATTGTTTTATTATTATTCAAAGTATGTATAATGTTTATGTGATAAAAGTATTTTACGAATCAAGAAAAATTATTCTTCTAAGTTGTAATTAAATATTTCTCGTAGATTTTTTTATTTTACTGATAAATTTTTTTTGTATATAATTGTCTATATCTGTACACGTATAATTTTTAGACTGGACCGCGTTCTTATCGCTTTATATCACATCAATATCATTATTATAATATTGTTTTTCTGTCACTGCGTCACGTACACGTTTCATTTCTGTGAGATTCTGTGAGATAAGCGATTTAATGTTTGTTGATTCTACCATCCTTCGTCATAAAATCATTTCCTGTTTTACGTAATCCTGTTGCAAAAAATCGTTCACATTAGCAATTTGCTACTCGCATTTCAAGCTAATCGGTTTTCAAGCACTTAAACATAAATTGCTCAACTATCACATTAGTGAATCGTGATGCCATACTTCATTTAAATATTCTATTTTACTTTCTTAAATTCTCTCTCGTGTCCTCCCGTCCCCCCCCTCCCCTCTTTTTTGTGACAGAGTAATAAATTGTATGCATAGACTTTGAACAGTAAGAAAAAAGTTACCTATAAAAAGACGAGAGGCAAAGAAAAACGCGTTTATAAGATAATTTTTTTTTGGAAAAATGTTCGGCAAGTTTATAACAATGCAGTGACTCGTCATTCTCAATGTTAATATCGTTGCGAATGAAATCATAAAAATTATCAGCACGTTCATGTTTACGCGATGTTATCGTTCATACGAAGATAATAATACTCAAAGACAAAACTAACAGAATCTAATTTAGATAAAAGATGATCGTACGTTTATCTGAGATTGAATTGAAATCTTGTTATACTTATTATTTTCTCCAATATATATATATATATATATATTAACATTAATTTCGGTTTAATTTATTCTTCATCTTTTTCTAACTTTTAAAACTAGAAAAAAAATGAAAAATAAGTTAATGAAAACCGAGATAGTTAATTTACACTGGCGAAAATAAATAATGATCGTCAAAATAATCTTGCTAAAAAACAAGTTATGTAAAATACACTTCAATTTATTGAATTTATTCATTATTTAACAAACAAGATTGAAATTAATTGAAATGGATTCAGATTTTCAGAAATATTAATTCACGAATGTTAAAATGAATACTTTTTAATTCTGAATGCATTATTTATTTATTTATACAAATTGCATGGAGCATATCTCTATGCCTTTCAATTTAAAAATAATATTAGCTTTTTTTTGTGCACACAACATTATGAACTGTTCAATTCAAAATTTTAAATTTAATATGAAATGCAGTTTTTCAATCCAATTGCATCCAATTGAATCTAATTGAATCCAATTGGATTCAAAAAAAAGTATTCGCTATTTAAAATACGCATTCGAATAAAAAAAAATCATTTTAATCCATTCTCGTTTATTAGCTAATAATTCTCTTCGAAAATATTTTTTTTATCCTATTCCTGGACATTCAGGAAAGGTCGACATAAATTAAAAATAACGAACATCAATCATTAAGAGCAAATTTCAATTAATCTGCAGCAATTATAATTCTCTCAGTAACTGACAGAATTATTTAAAATAATATTTCTAACTATACATAAGGTATATTTAAATAAAGTGTCAAATATTTTAGACACACATCCCATCAATCAACATTTAAAAACATTCACATATAAATTATAAACAAAATCTTTTCATTTATTTCTCTTAAATTTTACTTTGTTTTTTTTTAAATCTATACATATAAAACACTTTGGTTTGTTTCCGTGTGTTAAATTTTGTTTTATCTTGTTTTCTATTACTTTTCTATTAATTATTTGATATTGTTAAGTAATTATTTTAAAAATCCTCAGAAACTAATAGCGAATTCGATCACTTGCATAACACTAGATCAGTGTATACTAATAAAAGCTGCTTTGCATGAAATTAACAAAGTTATTATAAATATTTTGAATGATTAACAATATTATTAATGATATTGTCACGTTATTTAATAATTAAAAAAAATATATGTATCATTTCATTGTTGAAGACGATTATATTGTATCACTGCATTGAGACATTATGTATGAAGTAGCTTTTAATATGATCCAGTGTAGTGCAATTAAATTCACCATAAGTGTTTCTAAAGCTCCTATTCTACAATATGTTTTTTGTTTTCTATTTCTTGCTTTTTGCTATTTTTTACATCTTGTCTTTTTGCTTCTTAGGCCCAATTATGTCACTTTGATTTTAAGCGAGACTTAAAATTCTATCTGTTTTAAAGCCAAAAAGAGACAGAGATAGAAAGAATTTTAAGTTTCACTTAAAATCAAAGTTGACGCAATCGAGCCTTATCTGGCTTTTTGTTTTATGTCGCCCGAAATAAAAGTTAACAAATTTCGAAAGGTAAGAAATACATAACAAGAAATACAATTGATAAAGCGGTTGTAAAGGGGAAAAAAAACAAGAAATAGGAAACAAAAAACACATTGTAGAATAAGCTCAAATCCATAGGTTTGTTTTCTGTAGTTGAAATAGTGTGCACTTTTGTGACCTTAAAGTGAGAAAGGTATATGTTTGAAATTTGTCGAAAGCGAGAAAGTTGAAAAAGAGAGTCAAAGAGAGTTCGAGTGCAGCAACAGAAAACAGACCACCTGTATGTGAACTTATGAACTCTTTTTAATGTTTAGAAATATATATTTTACGTCGATAAAAAATTAGACACTTAAATACAACCTGCCTAATTACTTGTTTTTCTAATTAATAGATCTATATCAACAAAATAGTTATGAGTTACGATTAATAAATTAATCGCTGATTAAATTAATCGAAGTTTACAAGTCGAATTTTAGTCATCATCTTCAATGGGCGACAAGGTCAGTTTACTCAGTTTACACTATCTATAACCCATAATCGTCTGTCTTGTCTACGTGGTCTGCGTCTGCAGCTGTATCGTCTGTATTGCCACGCATATCGACGTGGTTACGTCATGATCACGAAATGTTATCACGCTAATTACGGTTATCACTTCCTTTTCCCACTGTGACAGAATCGATCTTATGCAAACAAAAGGCTCGGTAATACATACGAAACCGAGGAGATGATTGGCGAACGTTATCCTGGTTGTCCCTGTGGTCGTAATAGATCGTAATTCTCTCACATAACTTTACCTAACCTGGGAAAGGGGGCTACGTTAATGTTTCTCTACGTCTCCCGGCGGGAATCTCGAAACATTCACACACATGCTTCTGTCGAATCGATCTGAAAATGCCGCCGAATATCCTGAAGAGTAGCTTGGAAAATGCTTCGTTTAGCATTGTATTTCAGGTACGTTGATAAAACCGGCAGTTTTATTTACAAACAATCCGAGTACTTTGAAGCATTCATTTTAATCTAAGAATACTGATTAGAGACACTGCTTTTGTATATTGACAAATATTACATCATACAAAATTTTAGAAAAAAACTCTTCTTCCACAGATATTCTGTCGTTGTGTTACATTTGTTCTAAACGCATTTGTTGTTCGTCACGTGGGCCAGGCAATCTTAGGCGTTATTAATGTGAGATTACTCTTATTGGAATCTATGATACTGTTCTTGTCACGCGAACCATTTGTGAAAGCATGTCTGACCAACACGGCAGAGCATAATTGGGCCCAAGTTATAAATCTACTGTGGCTGACGTTAGTTCTTTAGTTACATGATAATTGATCATCTCAGAAACTATACTGATTAGCCCCATTAAATAAGAAGCATATAAAAATTGATGAAGTTGTAAAACTAATCATGTTATTGAAATTAAGAAATTATGGAAAAATATAGAATTTATCAGTTTGTCTTCTGAGAGACTCAATTGTTCTCTTTGAACAAAAATGGATTAATTAATGTGTTTTAGAGTACCCATATGCATTGTAATGTCCTTCCTATTTGGATATATTTGGTTGTTCTTGCTCTCCACCACAGAGGTATTACCACCATACTACACGTTTGCAGTTTGGGCAGTTGGACTGTCATGTGTTATAGAATTGTCTTCCTTAGTTGTTCAATTAGTCGCAAGCGCATTTCTCTTCGTTAGGCTTAAAGTAAGACAACATAGACAAAAGATATATAAGAGTTTTATAAGAAATGAGTATTTCACTGCTATCTTTGTTCTTCCAGATAATTCTGGATACGATCATGATCGTTATTCGCACTACGACGTTTGTCCCACTAATATTATATTATCCTGAGAACGCATTACTTGCGTTCGGCATCGCTCAACTTGTTGCGGCAATATTTTATACAACTAGTCATTATGCATATTTTCATTATCATATCAAGAAACTGAACAAGTGGTCACAGAAACGAAGAATGTCTTTGAAAGATAACAGCGATGAATATGTAATAAGAGAGTTTCCCTTTCATACTATAGAAGATTTTTTACCTTGTCAGCTAGAAAATAATGTACGTATTATAATTATATTGTTACATTATCGTTTTGTAAGAAAAAATACAACAGTTACTCCGTAGGATTCGTACTTTGATACGAAGTTGACTAATCTCACGTGGAGCTTCTTTAGGCAAGGAATCTTAAAGCAGATTTTGACGGAAGGCGAAAGATTGATCATGACTATAATGCCAGTATTAACATTTACAGAACAGGTTTGTGTCAATATACAGAGTATTTCCCAAATTTGTAATCAAAATATTGTAGTAAGAAAGTTCTCGAAAAATTAAGTAAAAAAGTTATTCATAAATTTTGATTTTTAACAATAATTTTTGAAATAATAATGATTTAAATATGGTCAATTAGATTACGTTTAAATAGCCAACTATCCATTAATCGCACGTGCCGTATTATAGTATTAATGAGCGTGCTCAAGTATGTGCTCACTAATACTCATAAACACTATAATATGATATGCACGGTCACTGTTTTTAACATAAAATTTGTAATTAACCATATTTAAACTCTTATCTAAAAAAAATTACTGCTTAAAATAAGAATTTACAAACAATTTTCTTACTTCATTTTTTAAAACCTTTTTTATTGTAATATTATAATTCGCGAATTTTAGGATACTTGCGTATACTTCGATGTCGTCATTAGATGCTCATTTTTTCTTTAAGGGAGTCTACGAGATAGTGAATAATATGGGTTCGCTAGCTGCTAGATTTATTTTCCGTCCAATCGAAGATAGTGGTTATTTTTATTTCACACAGATAGTGAAAAGGGATAAAACGATTTCTGATCAGAATCCAGTGAGCGTCTATCCTTCCATGTTTACCATAAAATTTTATGTACCTATTTATAAACTATGATATTTTCAGGTGAAAGTACAAGAGAGTGTAAATGTGTTGACACATTTGTGTTCTGTTGTTACATGTATTGGTTTGGTTGTTCTAGTATTCGGTCAGTCTTATTCGAGTCTGTTGCTCTGGTTGTACGGCGGCTCAAAGTTGATTTTACCCTTACCTGTTCTATTGCTAAGAGCACACTGTCTCGCCGTGTTACTGTTAGGAATCAATGGCGTAACCGAATGCTACACTAACGCAACAGCCGACAATGCGACCATAAACAAGAGCAACTTGATCATGGTCTACCAGTCGATCACATTCTTGGGCGCATCGTATCTGTTTGCTACCTGGTTTGGTCCGGTCGGCTTTATTCTCGGCAACTGCGTGAATATGGGCTTGAGAATCATACATTCGGTGATATTCATTAATAAGAGACACCAAGACACAGTCTATCGTCCATTACGCGGACTAGTACCAAAGCCCATGTTCTCCACATGTCTACTTGTCGCAGCATTTGTCACTAATTTATCACATGTAAAGTATCCACGATGTAATTTTATATGTATGTATACGCTAAAATCGCATAGCGGTAAAGTAATCTCTTCCATTATTTCAGACTTACTTCTTCCCAAGTGAAAAAATATTGCACCTATTAGTTGGCATAATAATGTTTATGATTGTACTTATGTCTTGGTTATATGAAAATTACGAATTAATCCAGCTTGCCACAAGCAAATGGTATGAAAGAAGAAATAAACAGAAAAAGAGTGACTGATCCTAAACCCTCGTGTAATATAAATATAATATTTTATTTAATATATAAATCAACTATAGGTTCATTGTAAGATCTTGTAAAATGTTAAAAGATCACACACATACATATAAATATATAAATAATTTTCGTACAACTAGTTGAAATTGATTATAAATCCTTATATGAGAGAGAGAGACATATCTTACCTATTAAATTTCTTTTTATTAACAATTCGCGCATATACTTAAATTTTTTTATAAAAAAAAGATTGCATTTTGGATATAAATATTATAAGTTTCAGCCATACTTATACAATAGTGATTATTTCAAATCGATATGTCTTTATATATAGCACCAACTACAGGTTCCTTACGAAGTATAATACACTGCCTGAAATTCAAGCAAGTTTCCATTTTATATTTAGAAATATCGCAAAATTGTTATTTCACTTACTTATTATCATTTTGAAGCGATATAATTGGTGATCCAGATTTCGGTTCCAATTTTGCAACTAGATCCGCTATAGCTGCTATCAATCCAGCACTGTCGCTTGATGCATCGCCCTTAACTTTACAAAAGTTTACAATTTTATGCAGGTTTTGTCGAATGCTTGAAATTTTTTCATAATATCTATAATTTTTATTTGGATTTTTGACGATTTATTACCTCCAAGACAGAGACCAGCGTGATCAGCCAAAATGCAGCCAATGATTCCTTCCTTGTCATGCCTATAGGATACAATAATAACTTTATTGATAAATATACAAGACTGATTAATAATTAATGTAATACTCAAGAAAACGAAGATAGATACACAAATGTATTAAATAATATTAACGCTCAGTTTTTCATTAACTTGTATTTAGACTCATTTAATAACAATGTAAAAATTATGCATCTATAATTATGATTAATCACTAAACTGATCGTTTTGTAGTGGCAATTTTACTCGCTGCTTCAACCATAACTAGAAAAATACAATTTTTACACAAAAATAAAACAACAAAAAATCGAGCCTGAGTAATATTCACAATATAATAATATTTATTATAGGATAGAAATTCAAAAATATTCAAAATCTTATATCGAAGAAGATTTCTTAACCTATATATCCCATAACGCTTACGTGTCATCCAATGTTTTCACCAAGTTTCGTTCCATCCTCGGACCTCGAGTCTCGCGCGACGCTCGCAAAACCAATCGACACGCGAGATTTGTGGAGTTTCCTTGAAAAATTAATTCGACGTCGAAGGGAGAGCTGATAACCGTGTTATCTGGTTATCACGTAAATATTGCAAATACTACTTAAAGACTGCTGTGTGCTGTCTGCGTCGGTTCGCTGGTATCAGTTGGTGTCAGTGACGGTTGACGGCGTACGGTATGACATGACAGATCGCAATATTCGCGTCTCGCGATACATCGCGCCACGTACACGTGCGCATTTACGCACATGTACGTACCACGTGATCGATGTACCCAGCGTCGCTTAACGATCTCATTACGCGGTAACTGAACTTTGCCCTTCCTTTCCGTCGTAATTGAGAGAATTATGTGAATTACTTTGGGAGAGGTGTTACGTTACATAACCTGATGAAACTTTCATTTCATTCCGTTTTTTTCTTTTTATGTTTTCGCACTTTTAGTGCCTAATTTCAATTTGAAAAGAAAAATAATTTATTCACAGAATCGCTCCGCGTTTACGCAACGTGCGGTGATTTCGTATTGACGAAAAATTGTTAGGGAAATCGTATATTGCGAATATTAGTGTTTCTGGGACACTCGGTATTAAGCCATATAGGCGCTATATACGTATCGTGCAATGAGGCCGACGTGACTTGTTCAGTGACAATCATGGCTGGTAAGTGAAGAGATGTGTACTTGTTTGTTGGCGTTATTTTGTTAAAAAAAATGAAATGTAAACAAGTGAAGACAACGGATTTATTATCGTTAAGTCATTGCATTAGATCAATTTATTCCAGTGAAAAATATTAATTCGCATATTCCATAATAATATTCGAACTTAAAGGAATTAAAACTCATGGGTGTTCTAAGTGAGGATAAAAGTTGCAACATATAAAAAAATGAAACATTTAGAGTTTAAAAAATACTTATTTTTATAGAGTTATGTATTAATATAAACGCGAAGAATACCATAAAATATTATAGTTTCTTATATATATTCATTGTATACGAATTTGGGCAGATATTTTAATTAATGTCCAAAGTTACAATATGAAAAAAAAGGCACAAATTTTTAATTTTGAAGATGCAACTGTAGTCTTCTAAATATTTATATATTTTTATAATTGGGAATACATTAATTAAATTTAAAGGGAAAGAAAATATATTAATAGAAATTAAATTGGAATAATTTTATTTTGCTTTCTGATGCTATTAAATTTTATAATTTTTTATTTTAACAGTACCGTAATAAAAGTATAAAAATAATATATTTTGTGTCATACATTTTTTAACTTATAATAAAAATAAATTATATAATTTTTTTTATTTCAGAAATAAATCCTTACAAGCGTCTATTAAAATCCATTAAAATTGGATTGAAAGATTGTCAGTATTATGATATTGGCAGTTTAAGCACAAAATATGGTAAGTTTTTTGTCTTATTTCACATCTAATGAATAAATATTAATATGTATCGGCCTTATAGACAAATTACCATTTTCTATCCGAGTTCTTTTGGAAAGTGCCGTCCGTAATTGCGACAATTTCCAAGTAACAAAACTAGATGTTGAGAAAATTTTGGATTGGGAAAATAATCAATCCCTTCAACAGGGAGTCGAAGTGAGCTTTAAGCCTGCAAGAGTTATATTACAGGTAAAGAAGTATCTCCAAAATTTCCATATTTTATTGAGTTTAGTTATGTGCAAAAAATATACTTATTGTTGCTTATTCAATTACAAACAGGATTTTACTGGAGTACCGGCAGTTGTGGATTTTGCAGCAATGAGAGATGCTGTAAAGAAACTCGGCGGCGATCCTAATAAAATTAATCCAATCTGTCCATCAGACCTTGTAATCGATCATTCAATACAGGCTGATTTTATTAGAAGGTATAGTTCATCAAGTATGCTTTATCAAGTGTGTTTTGATTTTTTTAAATAATGCAGAGTTGAAGGTTATCATAAGCTAATAAAAAATAATCTGGAAACTCTAATATTGCTGAAATGTTACAAGAAAAGAAAAAGTTTTACGTAATATGCTTGATAATATTGTGAGAAGAGATACAAATAAAAAAATCCAAGAATCTTTTTTTTTATTTTTGTGTTATATTGCCTATAATCTGTTTATATAAATCTATTATTGTTATGTATTTTCAGCAATGATGCCTTAAAAAAAAATGAAGAACTCGAATTTGAGAGAAATAAAGAACGCTTCATGTTTCTTAAATGGGGTGCAAAGGCATTTAAAAATATGTTAATTGTTCCTCCCGGAAGTGGTATCGTGCATCAAGTGAATTTAGAATATTTGGCAAGAGTGGTATTTGACTCCAAAAATTTTCTATATCCTGACAGCGTAGTTGGTACTGATTCTCATACTACCATGGTCAATGGTCTGGGTGTACTTGGATGGGGAGTTGGAGGTATTGAAGCAGAAGCTGTTATGCTTGGTCAAGCAATTTCTATGTTAATACCAAAAGTCGTGGGATATAAATTAGAAGGTGTATTAAATCAATATGCCACGTCTACTGATCTTGTTTTAACTATTACAAAGGTAAGAATTTTCCGAGCAGGCTTAGTAAAAATATAGAAGCTTTTTAGAGAAATATTTTTACTGTAATATAAATGTTTTATATGTTTTTATAAATACAATTTTACTTATTTTTTAATGGATAAAGTTTATATACAATATAATGGAATATACTATATATTTTATATATAAGTAATATTAATAAGTATTAATTATATAATCTTATAAATTTATAATATTTTACATATTTGCAGAATCTTCGACAAATCGGAGTGGTTGGAAAATTTGTCGAATTCTTTGGACCAGGCGTAACGCAGCTAAGTATTGCGGATCGTGCTACCATTTCTAATATTAAATATCTTTTATAATATGATGGCTTTAGATGTAATATTTTATGTAATATATGAAAATATTTTATGTAATATATAAATATATTTTTTTCTATATTATCTAGGTCGAGCTGACGAACACATTGATAAGATTGAGAAATATCTTAAAAACGTACGCATGTTAAGGAATTATGATGACCCGAACCAAGATCCAATCTTTTCCGAGGTGGTCACTTTGGATTTGAACACTGTAGTCTCAAGTGTCAGCGGACCTAAAAGACCTCATGATAGAGTTTCAGTATCCGACATGCAAATAGACTTCAGAAATTGCCTCGTAAACAAGGTTGGTGACTCTTAAACATTTCTGTATGAAATAGATTAATACTCACTAGCAAATCTATTTCATCTGCTGTAGACCATATTTTGTTACTTAATAAGATAAATAATAATAATTATATCGACAATACGTACACATAGAATAAGTGTAACAATATGATAAATCTAGAATGCTAATATGAGCACTCTAAGAAAGATGATTATTTAGTACATACAAGGGACGAATATTACCCAGTGACTGTAAAATGTAAGTCAAACTGGATTATATCCATCTCATGCTGTACCTCTGTTTTGCCAGCTAGCGTTAAAATGAATTTGATCCTTTTTTTTTCTAAAAAGCTTGCATAGTACTTGTTAAAAAAAAATATACGATCAAAAAATGAAAATAATCGACAGAGAACTAGGTAACTTATACTGTGATATGATTAGCTTGCATTAACATATCACAATAAAAGTCCCTTTGAACTCTGTGACTAAAAATTATTTACTTTCACGACAATCTACAATATATGTAACTAATTTAATGTAATCAAAGGCACTCATTTTTTTTTTTAGGAGACTCCAGTTTTTATACATCAGTTTATAATAAAGACATTCTGATATACTAATGTCACGGTAAAACAAGCTCGATAAAAATATACAGGATATTCCAAAATTCGCACATTTGGAGTACAGAACATATTTTATGTTAAAACAAACAACTTTTTCCTTTAACGAAATTGCATCTGATAAATAATTTTTGTACTTATTTAGTAATTTCAACCTGCTCTCCTGCAAAAACTATTTGTCAAGCGCAATTTTGCAAAAGGAAAAAGTTATTTGTTTTAGCATAAAGTATCATATCCTGTATTCCGAATGCGCGAATTTTGGGACATCCTTTATACTATTAAATACATACTATTTCACATGCATTAGTAATACTAATATTAAATTACTCCTGCAAAAAACGTGTCTGTATCGTTGATATATGATCGCCGACAATATCCTGTGTTGCTATGTCTCGAGCATCTTTCCTTTGCTGATCTAGCTTTATGATATTTCGATACAACATATAGTTAGATCACCAAAGATAAATGAACGAGATGTGAACTGAATCTGCAGGTGATATTTCTTGCCATTAAAGACGAGTATATGATCTAGTCACAAATTTTTTTTTTATTTGTGTAACCAGTCACATACTCGACCCTAACAACAATACTTAGCAGAGCGATATGCATATAGCTGTAAACGTTAGATGTACAGGGATTTGATATTGGATGCAATCATCACCCGGTGAAGTTTCCATTACAACTTTACCGGCTACGATCGCATCCAATAGTACAATCCTCTTACACAACGCTGATATCGATCGAATCCATGAATTCTGTACAATTTTTTTTCTAAATATAAAAATATTTCTCTTTCAATTATTGAAAAGAAATTGAGGAAAATTCAGCTATTTCAGAAGTATTTCAGATTATTTCAGAAAAATTTGAGAACGATTTCACCTATTGAAGTATTTCTTCAAATACTCAAAGCTGTGTCCTACATATGCATAATTGGATACTCACGATAATTATTTGTTGGTAATGTTTTCAACGATCGTCAAAATTTTTTCATCTTTGGAATCGTAGAACACAATGCTAACAAACTGCGATATTTTCACGACATAGCAAGTCAGATGAAGATCACACTAACAAAAAATTCGATAATATCTGAGCTCACTCGTTCACCAATAGTAAATAAATTTTCGCGACTATTAACTCTTGTATTCGTCGGCGGACCTTTTATAAAAACTTTTATTCCTATTTCTGATCTGCTTCTGAACCCTCTATTGGGTTCAGCTTTATCACTAGTTTTTAATATCAAGTTTTTAATTAAGAATAATTCATAAGAAACTAAAAATTATAACAATTATTAACAATAATTAAAAATTATGTTTAATAACTATATTCAATAAACAAAAATTATGTTTCATTACTTTTATGATAGTGCATACTGAATTACTATTAAATCTGTTTTCGTAGCACTGCAGAAACTTTCAATGAACATACGAAAAGCACACACAGAAATGTAAAAAATATTTATTACGTGAATATGATATTTAACTCGCGGTCATGTCGAGAAAGCCGCGGTCTTAATCCGATAGGCGAACTGCAGCGAATGATCGCTCAACGAACGGAAACAATACGTGTTTAAGAACGTGTCGATCGATTTCTATTCGAAATGTTCAACATTGGCATCGCGTTACCTGGCCTATGACAGGCACAAGGACATCTGTCGAAGAAATTCATCCACTGAATCATAAAGTTAACACTTCTTCCGCGTGAAATTCAACTCCGATTGAAGTTAATATCGAAGATGGATAACATATGTATACTTATATACTTTAATGGATATATGTTGGTATAAACCCAATTTTAGATTAAACAAAATCAAATTATAATAGGTAGTAAATTTCTTTCAATTTAAAATCAATACTATAATGAGAATTTTGAATCATATTAAATTTAAGAAATGTTACAAACTGATAATTTTGATATTTTTTATGACTTTAATATAAAAATATAATAATATTAAATTATTGTCCAATTGTTTGCATTAGTGTTTTAATTAATTGAAGAATACAAGCTATTACGTTTGTTTTATTTTAAAAAATTCCGATTATTATACATCAGAAAAAATCTTTCTATATTCTTTGTATATAAGAACAATTGTATCAAATTGCTTGAAATTTTTTATATTTATGATATAGGTGGACTGTTAAACACATGACTCTCTCTTAAAATATAGGAGAATGCGTATATGGCACTTGACAATTTATGAAGAAAGAAATAATTCGTACGCACATACCATTGATCGATCGATCCGTCCGTCTCGTCGGAGAAGACAAGAGTCTTTGGTCACTTCGTATAAGTTCTGAAAGACGTATTCAGAGCTCGCACTGAAATTGCTGATACAACATCCTACTACATTCGTTTTGCAAAGCTCACACATTTCATTGCAAATGAGCCATCGTTTGTCGTGCCTGCTGGTATATAGAAAGAGCTCAGATTTCCCATTAAGGCACAGTGCCTAAGATTTGGAAAGGGATATGTTTACGGAAAACAATGGAAAATTTTGTTTAAAAGACCTTTGATTTAATTAATGTTGTACTAACAATTATGTGTCATTTTATATTAATGAACAAGATGTTAAAAGAAGTATTTGTATTTTCTGTTCAGCACATTTTGATCGCGATTAATATATCAAGTACTATTGAAGTATTTCTACAAAATATAAATAATACTAAACAATACCCATAAAGGTACGAACAAATATATTATTTTCATAATTGCTATGATTTAAAATAAATATGATGAATCTTTGTATTATTATGGACATTTCTTAGTTTTGTATCTTTATTGTCACACTTACAATTAGTTAAAAATAATCTGATTGACTTATACATTTTTCTTTAATATTTAATGACTTGTTTATTAGTATTTGTTTAAAAATACTTGCCATTGCTGGTTCCTGGATTGTGCACGCATGAAGTAAGCACGAGGTCATAGACCTCGTGATTGCTTAAAGATCGTTGCGAGTTCGTGTTGCTTCTTCAGCAAATTGTGTATCGGGCAATGAATTCTATCGTGCTACTCGACGCAATCAATCTGCCAAATTTATGAGACAACAAATAATGACTTGGAATAATAAATCACGTAAAAAAAGTATTATTTATAGCGTAATTTTTAACAATTTTTAACTTGTAATTATTTGCGACTTTTATCGTAGCTTCTCAGAAGGGATATTTTTCAAGGATTATTACATTTTTTTCTTTTAAAGGATGTTTAAAAATATACGAATAAAGAATATTAGATGATATATGACTTTTAAACTTTATACTTATCTGTAATATTCGAATATGTGGTTTAACTCTATCATATAATTAAAATCCAATCCAGTTTTTTCATATGCATCAAAAGCTTATGTGTGTTAAATTGAGACAAAAATTTAACTTTTTCTTTTCAAAGTTGCATATTCTTTTACATTTAAATTTAATCAGCATTAATTGTTAATGAATCTTTTTATTAGAAATTATTAAGAAAACTGAGTATTTTTTATTACCACGAAAAGAGTTATTTTGATTGTATTAATTATTATTGTTTTAATTATATAAATAAAATTCTTACAAACTGTTGAAAATATATAACATAATGACAATTTTTTGTTATAGGTAGGCTTCAAAGGTTATGGTTTGACCCCTACGAAGGTGGATTTCGTGGGGAAGTTCAAGTTCGAAGAGAAAGAATACGAATTGAAACATGGTTCTGTAGTAATTGCAGCTATTACCAGTTGTACGAATACTAGCAATCCTAGCGTTATGCTTGGAGCAGGTGTGTTATGAATTTTGTCAGAAAAATTTATTGCAGCTATACATAACATTTAATATTTTATAATTTATTACATTAATGCAAATGATTTATTGAAGAGCGTGAAATGAAATCAATCTGTTAACGCAATTTTAAATATCTATCCAAAATTATCAGCGTTTGTTAATGCAATACGAATTTTTAGATTTTAAAAGCACAGTTAAATCTCGAATATAATTAAAAATGAAATTAGTGCTTTAAATTATTATTAGGATAGTCATTATTAACTTAAACATTTTGTTTATTTAAAGAAATTTGTTTCATACTTTGAAATTTAGATTAGAATGATAAGAAACATTGAAAAGTAAGGACAAATGAAAAGTAAGGAAAATGACAAATGTTTAGTTTTTTATCGTTAATATAAAATTTCATTAACTATTTAATTATGAAAGAATATAAATTCTATGAGAAGGATGTGAATTAGAATATAAAATTTGCTACTTTAATATAATATAGGTCTTCTTGCTAAAAAGGCAGTGGAGGCTGGCTTGAGTGTTGAGCCATATATAAAAACATCATTGTCACCTGGCTCTGGAGTTGTTACTTATTATCTCCAGGAAAGTGGTGTAATTCCATATCTAACCGAGTTAGGTTTCGACATCATTGGTTACGGTTGTATGACTTGTATCGGAAATAGCGGCCCGCTTCCTGACGCTATAGTCGAAATGATTGAAAAGGTAAAGTAATTTGCTGCTTTCGTATTTAAATTCTACTTGTCATTTTTTTCAATTCTTGCTAAAAGGTAAAAATAATTCTATAAATTGTTGACAATTATAAATTGAATAAAATTGCGTTTAAAAATCATTAAAAAACTATTAAACTTCGCAAAGATTGTCATCCATATTCCTTAATTATGCAATTATCTCTGCATATAAAACAGCGTTAAATATCTTGTAGAATGAACTCGTTTGCTGTGGAGTTCTGTCAGGCAACAGGAACTTTGAAGGCAGAGTCCATCCGAATACCCGGGCGAATTATTTAGCGTCTCCGCTCCTAGTAATAGCCTATGCTATTGCTGGCACTGTAGACTTCGACTTTGAGAAACAGCCACTGGGTAAGATGTAAACTCATCTTTGCTTTGTTAGATTTATATGTAGTCTTTATAAGAAATGCGTACTGCATATGCATAATTTATATGACATTTCTGTTACACAAGGTCACAAAGCCGATGGTTCTCCAATATTTTTAAGAGATATTTGGCCAACCAGATCAGAAATTCAAGCTGTTGAACAAAAGTATGTCATTCCAGCCATGTTCAAAGAAGTCTATAGTAAAATCGAACATGGTAGCGAGACTTGGGCAAACTTGGTAGCACCTCACGACAATCTGTACCCATGGGATATTAATTCTACGTACATTACAAGTCCACCCTATTTCGATAACTTGCAGAAGGTAATTAGATATATAATTTTGTTGTAAACACTATAAATGCTTGATCTTGAAATTTTTATAGAATACGAAAAGAATTTAAATTTATTTTTTTATCTTAACATTAGCTTTCACTTCTTAAAAATTATGTTATATTTAGAATTTTAGATATTAATATAGAAAAATCTGAGCTGTGCTAATAATAGCAGTCGGGTTAAACAAAATTTTAAAATTATTTTTAAAGATATTTATGTGCTAAAGAATAATTTTGCTTTTTTATTATAAAATTTTTATACTGCGTAAGTCTTTTAATCAGAGATTGCAAAATATTTGGAAAAATAAGCATTGTACGAAAAAACGTTCCAAATAAACCCTCAATATTTTTGAGGGAGCAATTCTATCCTGCAAAAGTTAGTCACCTTCTGCTTCCCCCTGAGAGTGGGGCTGGAGTAACTTTGAAATCTTAAATGGGAACCACTACTTTTTATTGCACATTCGGATTCTACGTCCAAAAACATATCTCAAAAACATCTCTGGTTCAAAAACTCATCTAGTATTTGTAAAAAAATGAAAAATGATTTTACAGGAGCTACCTCCAATCAAATCGATTACAAAAGCGCGAGTGCTCGTAAATCTTGGAGATTCTGTTACAACCGATCATATTAGTCCAGCAGGCAGTATTGCGCGTAATTCAGCAGCGGCGAGATATCTAGCTAATCGAGGGTGAGTTTGGTATCAATGAGATAGTGGAGACAACGTATGCAAACTAAATTTTTAATAATTATTTTCATTTATAGTTTGACGCCAAAAGATTTCAATTCTTATGGCTCGCGTAGAGGAAACGATGCTGTGATGGCGCGAGGTACATTCGCTAACATTCGTCTCCTGAATAAATTTATTGGTAAAGCGGGACCACGAACGATCTACATTCCAACAAATGAAGAGGTATTATACGTGTTTTCTCGTTCTAGTTTAATTTCTCACTGCACAGTTTTAAATATTTAATATTTATTTAATATTTAAATATAAATTATAATCCTTGTCATAGATAAATAAGCATAAATTTTTTGCATTTTTTAAATATATGTGATTTATTCACATCAGTCATTAATGTCGATTATTCCGCCATATTGAATCGTATGAAACAAAAACAAAAAAAAATATTACTGAAATGTATTGTATTCCCTAATCATTAACCGAGCTTATTCAAACTGTATTAAAATTTGATTGAAAAAAATTTTTTTTAACTTTCGGTTTGACTTTTGGCACAAATATTGTTAATTAATTTATTAGTATCTTGCAAAATAATAATGATATTGTAAAAATCCTCGATCAATACTTAAAGAATACTATAAGAATAATAAAAAAAGAAAATTCAAGTCAATCCGATGAGTACATCTTGAGAAACCTTCGACATCATTTTGAAAAACAAGATTTCAAGAAAAACGCATTTAATCTTCTACAATATGATTTTTATATCATATAGTGCAAATTTTGTAAGCTTTGTAACTCAGAAACTAACTCGGATTTATATTTAAGACCTTTTGTTCCATATTCTATAGGTTTCAAACTACTTTAAAAAATACGAAAAAAAATTTTTTCGATTTTTTAAAAATTTTACACCAGTTTAATCCCTTAAATGTTTAAAAAGTGGCATAATATTTGTAACGGACGGTTTTTTAAATATACATTGATAGAGAATGTGTTAATAATAATTGGACTATATATAATTTAGATGGACGTATTTGATGCGGCCGAGAAGTACGCGAAAGACAAAACACCTTTAATCGCTTTGGTTGGCAAGGAATACGGATCTGGATCTTCCAGAGATTGGGCCGCCAAAGGACCATATTTACTCGGTATTCGAGCTGTTATAGCAGAATCGTATGAAAGAATACATAGGCAAGTATTTTTTTTTAAGTATTATATTTATTTTTTAATCAATTTCAAATAGTTTTTTCATTGAATTTTAAAATACATCTTTTTTAAAAAGTTAAGAGTTTGCTTATATGTTTAAAGTAAACAATTTTAAATAAAATATTGAGTTTTTTATTTTTATTTAAAAAAAGCTGGTTTACAATTGCTTTTATTTAATGCATATCTATATTTAAATTCGTTTATTTATTTGTAGGTCCAATCTTGTGGGTATGGGCATTATTCCGTTACAATATCTTCCTGGAGAAACTGCAGAGACCTTGGGATTAACGGGTTACGAGCAATATGATATTATGATCCCCACGAATTGTCAACCCGAAGAAATAATCACTGTGAACACGGACAACGGGAAGAAATTCAAAGTGATTGCACGATTTGATACGGATGTCGACTTAACTTACTTCAAACACGGTGGTATTCTTAATTATATGATTCGAAAAATGCTTTGATGAGTGATTAAAAAAAATGAATATAAATGATCCTCTTAGAAGGCTACTTAATGAGATACTTAATATTGGTTTTGGGATATCAGCTATACCTCTTTTAAACAAGATTAAGTTTTGAATACGTGAAGGAAATACAGAATAAGCATTATCGTAATAAATGCCTATTCTTTCTACCATCTAAAATTTATTAATATGGCATTTATAATATTTGTGCATAGCATGCCATTAAAGAATATATTTATTTCATAACATTTCAAATTTTTGTTATATTAAGTTTTTACGCTATATTAATTTTAAAGTGGAAGTAATCCAAAATAAAACGCAAAGCTTATTAATCTAATAAATTCTTTGCCTTCGTTGTTAAAAAATTGTTTTCTTAATATTTTATAATCGTTCTATCTATCTTATATATATGTATGGAAAAATGATATTGCTTTTATGTGTATATATATATATATATATATATATATATATGCTGATATACATCATAATGATAATAATAAATCATTGCAATACAATTGACTTTGTTTATTATACAGAATGATTTTCAATTATATGTTAATACTTCAAGGTGTAATCTAGAAAAAAGATATCATATGAACATAAATTATTCACACATAAATTACAGATAAATTATCTTAGATCCATTCCAAATCAGTAAAATACTTTTAAAATGTAACCAACAAATCTAAACATTATATTAAATAAATAACGTGCTGATAATAATTCAGACTGCAATTTTGACAGAGAGAATCTTATATTGTGTTCTGAATAATAATCGAAACAAGATAGATTCTTGATAAAAAATCAGTTTGAAGTCTGCGTATCTCATAAGATAAGAGATTTAAAAATCTATCGTACACAAACTCGTATACAACTTCCACGTTGTATAACAGCATACTTCTGACGAAATACTATTAAAGACGGTCGGCACTTATGAAAGTTAACATGCCTGTTAAAATTTAAGTGATTAAGAATAAGAAACTAATAATACGGTACTAATTTCATGATTTATTAGTTTTATAGACATATATGTTTAAAATTTAATAATACTCGATTTTTATTTAAAACTGTGATTTTAATGTTATCATCTGAGTTTGATTATCAATAGAAATAATAACTGCACAGAAAAAATTGTAATTTTTCAGCAATATATAAGATATTATAGCATTAAAAGTAAACACACTTATCTATACAGCATTTATATAATAAAAAAATCAATCGAATTTAATAATGTATTATTAAAATACTTATGTTAATAATCATAAATTTTTATTAATTGTCAGTAATGTCATCGTTCTTCAATTATCTCCGGGCCGACGGTCTTTAATAGTGTAATCTCATCGATACTCTAGACAATTAATGGGTAATAGGTGCGGAGATACTGTCGTGTCTCGAGATAATTATCAGAAGTCACATATGGCGAAGGAGAAAAAGAACATATGTGGCAATTTTATCTAGAATTCTTTAGAAGTATAGTAGGATATCGCGTGTCGCATACGACGAACATCGCGTTTGCATTTGGTCTGCAGCCGGCATTACAGGCACGAGCACGCTTTTTTTTTTAATTTAAAATGGAGATACTCTGCCCAATTTCGACTCGTTGGGATCTAAAAGTTACGAAGATATATTATTTTACTCCTTGACATTACTTTCATCAGGATTGTTTATTACAATCCTGATCACTTGAAAGGTAATGTTTTATTATAGTTCTGTTTCTATACAAATGGATATATATCGCAAGAATCGTTTTGATCGTGCTTAAGACTCGATCAGATATTAACTAATTTTACACATATTTATCCCAGAGATTCGAAACCTGTTCACAATGTCGTGACAGAGTCACGATACAGTCTATTCGTAAGGCTTATTTTTCTATTTCAAATATGCGACGGATACATCAACAGAGCCAGAGACCTGAGATTTTATAAAGGGCATTGCAAACAACCATTGTCAGTTGAAACGTTTATTGCGACAACCAATCAGAAGCATAAATAATACCATTAACGCTTCTAAATTGATTGTCGCGACAAATGTTTCAATTAGCAACAGTTCATAATGCATTGTAGATATATAGCATAATAAATAATATAGAAAAATTGCATTTAAAAAAATCGACATATTCTTATATTAATACTTTTTTATTAAATCAGATGTTATAATATTTTATTTCAATACACTAAATTAGTTTCACATTCTCTCTCTTATAATTTACTTTGTTATATTTCATTATATTAAAGTACTCGTATACATATATGGTAAATTTATTCTCTTATCCTTTTATATTTGTGCAACAGGTTTTAAATCTAATAAACTAAAGCATTTCTCTAAAATAAGCGCAGTAGCTTCCATGAGGAAGAGACGTCCCATATTTATTTTTACTATTTCACCAGACTGATTCTTTTCAACATAATAACGTTTGTTGTAAAATTCTGTAAATGCGCATGAAATCTCGTAACAAAACTCGCACAGCAGATTCAAATATAGATCTTCGGTAATGCCAAGAATTACATCGAGAAATTTTAACAATACTTTGGCTAGTTTCCATTTTTTTGTTATGAACATAAAGTAATATTTGTGGCTAAATATTTACAATTATTATTTTTATATATATTAGGTGCGCAACTAAGTTCCCGCTGTTTGTCAACAGATGGCTCCAGCAGTAAGTGCTGATTGATTCTGACATAACCTAAATATCATGAACCAAGTTTAGACATATGGTAAAACAAATCGCTTTGAAACATTAGTGATTTTGTTTTTACGTCATATTCTTTTGGTGTGAAAATGTCTGATTTTGTGCCAAATAATCGTCATATGCGGGAAGTATTGATTTTCTTCTGTCATTCGAAGAAAACGGCGGCTGAAGCGCATAGAGAGCTCCAAAAAGTTTACGGAGATGCTGCTCAGCAAACAACGTGCCGAGATTGGTTCCGTCGCTTCAAACGGTGATTTCGATGTTGACGACCGTCCGCATGAAGGAAGGCCAAAAACCCACAATAATTACAATTCGGATCATTACAGTTTATAATAAAATAATATCGCTGTTTTTATAAAGCGCATCATTTTTACGAGATACCTATTCAATTCTTAGAATTTGATTTTGCCCTTCATTTCTTCCATGTTTCTCGTCACAAATTGTAATTAAATTTTTCTTTAGCATGAAAAGTTTTATTTGAATCTATCTACATCTACCTATTTTTTAAATATGCAAATAATGACTTGTAATCATGCTTTTGATTTGAACGGAGTGAAAAGTTTAATTCGATCATGCGTTTATCTGTAGCGCAGTACAGATGTGTACTATCAAATTGTAAAGAATAGATTGGGCTGCGTCGAGATGATTCTTGCGAATTTACGTAATACATCTAGAAATATTGAAAAAGTATTTATCATAAACAATTTGTAATTTACAAAATACATATATCAGTTTAAAAGTTTTGATAAGAACCTGAACGAAATCACTTTTCCTCTGATCCCATAGAATAGCTAAACAATTATACTGTGTCCCTGTTATCATAGTATATTGATTATCGGATGCAATACAATATAATGTTGCATCGCATGGATCCACCCATGAGCAAACGCATCTTCCAGTTCTCAAATCATAGTTGTTAATATTACATAAAGTTGAAAATAGTGATTGAGCAATCGAGATGTTACCTCAAGTCCCATTTTCGGATGTACGTATCATAACCGCAAGTGAGTAAAGTGTTGGGATCATCCCATACCATGTCTAATATTCCAGCGCCGTATTTCCACTCGTGCTGCATTGTATCGACCATTGTGTAACTGAAATCTCTCCGTTAGTTTTTTTTTCAAAATATTTAATACGTGTTATTTGTATGATCGATCGCATTAAAATTGTAGTTAATTTTAGACCTCATGGATCGATTAAATATTGCAATATTACACATACCGCTCGACATTGATTATATGTAATGGAACGTCATTTATTCCAGCCGAGCCAACAGCAAATGTTACTCCAGTAGGATCAATTGAAAGCGATTGCACTTTATCCTTTAGATGTATATAGACTTCCCCCTTTTTATCATCACCAGTAAGCATTCTTTTGTCTATATCCATATTGCATATTTGATCCCAAGTTCTTACATTCAAAAGTTCTGGATGTCTAAATATCTAAACAGAAATCTTACATCGTATATTACATTATTGTATCAGATTCCACCAAATCTTACCTTTACTGTACCATTATCTAAACCCGCAATAACATTTTCCAATGAGGCATCTATGGCATTAACAGTAGATTTTACAGAAGCTGACTTCTGTGCGATCATCTTTGCAGTACGCAAATCATCTTCGAAATTCACCATAAAATAGATTATAGTGCCATCCCTGTAAAAATTTTTGCAAAGGATTATATGTATGTTGCAAAAATAAAAAATGATTAACTATATATATATAACCACATATGATGAAGTTTTTCCAAATAATGAATTTGTTGATGTGAAGACCACAGGATTCTACAGTATGACATCTTGATCGGTATTTATTTAATGTCTTCTCATGACGCTTAAAGCCATAAAGATCCCCAAACATCCACCAAAGCATATTGTCCGTCATTCTTAGCCATGGTATCATACTTTTTTTCCATGAGAATACAGCTTCTTTTTTATATATTCCATAATGCCAGTTCTGAGATATGTGCCATGCTGCATGTGGTTGCAACAATGTAAAACATCTAAAAATAACACAACAATCTTCTAATTTTTATTTTATTCTTTCTTATATATAAACTTGTTTATAAATTCTGTTCTAATTAAATGTGACTGGACTTAAATAAGAATTGTATATTCTTTTATTAAGAAACTTTCAATAAGCTTTTTACAATTTACAAAAGAAAACTGTCTTTTTTTGATAATTTTATATATATACATATATATAAAATTATCAGAAAAAGACAGTTTTCTTTTGTAAAAAGCTTGTTGAAAGTTTCTTAATAAAAGAATATACAATTCTTATTTAAGTCCAGTCACATTTAATTAGAACAGAACTTATAAACAAGTTTATTTCTCGTTTAACAGGAGATTCCAATATTAATTA